TCTGTCTCATAAACATGCAAGGTTTCAGGTATGTCTTGCTACTTCTACTTACACTTAGGTCACACTACACATACATGTACAAGCATATATATACACACCCCTCTGGGTTTTCTTCTATTTTCTTACTAGTTCTTGTTCTTGTTTATTTCCTCTTATCTCCATGGGGAAGTGGAACAGAACTCTTCCTCCATAAACTATGCGTGTTGTAAGAGGCGACTAAAATGCCAGGAGCAAGGGGCTAGTAATTCCTTCTCCTGTATATATTACTAAATGTGAAAGGAGAAACTTTTGTTTTTTCTTTTGGGCCACCCCACCTCGGTGGGATATGGCCAGTGTGTTGAAAGAAAGAAAGAATTCTATTTATTCACGTACAAGTCCCACTCAAATCCAACTCCTCTCACTCATGTATTTATCCAACCTAAATTTGAAACTACCCAAGGTGGAAGAATTGGACCTGCCTCGCATGGGACAGTAGGCTTGCTGCAGTGTTCCTTCTTTCTTTTGTGTGGAGCGTCAGTCATCTTTACATAACTCCAACTGTTGTGCATTTCTTGAGTGATGGTGAAATTGCTGAAATGGTGTTAAATACAAATAAGCATGTGATAAATGGTTTGGAAACTGACAGCTTGAAGAATTTTGACACACTTATGCAACATATGGGAATCTTTATTGAAGAAACGTTTCACCACACAGTGGCTTCATCAGTCCAATACAAAGCAGGAAGGCATAAGGAGAGGAGTTTGAGGTAATCAGTCCCTCAGCCTGGAATCGATGTGTTCAGTCCCTCACTCAACAAGAGTATTTGTCATACAGTAAAAAAAATCTGGTGTTCTATGACTATCCTGCAAAATCCACATCTGCATCCGAATCCGGGAGGATGTCAAGATGTGACATCCGCAATCCGCATTGTACTATAAGCAGATATCCGCATTTGCATCCGCAAAATAGGTAAGACAAACATTCGAATACACATCCGCATCCGCAGATATCTAAATTTTCACATCCGATACATTCCTAATCTCAACAACCCCTCCTCAGCCCTCTGAATAACACTTTTAGTAACTCCACACCTCCTAATTTCCACACTATGAATTCTCTGCATAATATTTACACCACACATTGCCCTTAGATGCAACATCTCTACTGCCTCCAGTTTCCTCCTTGCTGCAATATTCACAACCCATGCTTCACTCCCATATAAGAGTGCTTGTACTACTATACTCTCAATGCACAACCCACCTTTTTTCCTTCATCAATTCTATGGTTTACCTCATCCTTCATAAGCCCATCTGCTGACAAGCTACTCCCAAATATCTCAACACATTCACTTCTTCCATACTCCCTCCCTTCAATCTGATATCCAATTTTTCCCTATCTAAATCATTTGATACCCTCATCACCTTACTCTTATATAGATAAGCTGAGCCTCACTATCTTCATAAAAACTCTTTACAGCATTTAGTAGCTTACCACCTATTCCATACACCTGCAACATCTGCCACATTGCACCCCTAACCACCCGATCATAAGCCTTTTCTAAATCCACAAAAGCAACAATAACTTCCCTACCTTTCAACTTTCTTCATTTACACACCCTCCCAAACTTGTCCACTAACCTTTGCAACTTCTCTTCAGAATCTCCCAGAAACTCCCATTTTGTATCTGAATCCACATAATTTAATCCCATCCCTCTCCCCAACACCCTATTATTTACTTTTTTTTTTTTTACAATCCCACCAATAAATATGTTAAACAACCATAGTAACATTATACATCCCTGTCTAAGACCTACTTTCACTGGAAAGTAATCTCCCTCTCTCTCCTACACATCCTAAGCTGAGCCTCACTATCTTCATAAAAACTCTTTACAGTATTTAGTAGCTTACCACCTATTCCATACACCTGCAACATCTGCCACATTGCACCCCTAACCACCCGATCATAAGCCTTTTCTAAATCCACAAAAGCAACAATAACTTCCCTACCTTTTTCTAAATACTGTTCGTTTATGTGTTTTCAATGTAAACACTTGGCCCACATATCCCCTACCCATTCTAAAGCCTTGTTCATCTGCAATCCTGCTCTGTCATAACCCTACCATACACTTTACCAGGTATACTCAGTAGGATTCTTTCCCTATAATCTTTACACTCTTTTTGTCCCTCTTTCCTTTCATTCTCTGCCAGTCCCTATGTACCCTCCCCTCTTTCACACATTTATTGAACAAAAGTACCAACCCCTTCAAAACTATATCCCCACATGCTTTTGACATTTCTGTCATGATCCCATCTGTTCCAGCTGCTTTACCCCCTTTCATTCTACCTAATGCCTCATCCAATGCTTATTGCTATCAACATACCTTATTCACTGAGCTTAATCATTACTAACTTGGCATTTAAAGTAAGAGGCTTATGGCTCCTCTTTTATCACAACTACCCTTAGATGCCATCATAAACAAGAGAATAAGAGACAGAGAGAATGTAAACAAACTGAGAGTGAACAGATGGTTGGTGGTCAGGTGAATGCTGCTCCTATGCATTCATTTTGCATAATGCATGCATTTGTGAAGCTTTTTTTCCCTCAATACAAATGCCTTACACTTTGTACAAGTTGTCTTCACATTGGTGCAGTAGGATAAATAATAACAACACTCCCATTCTCATGCAACACCATTTTTAGAGCGAAAGACACTATGAGTGAAGGAATACGAAAGGAATATTTTTCTACAGTTACCCCCTCCCAGTAATATACTGTATACAGCTTCTCTGGTGTTGGACTAAAGAAAACAGAATTCTTGCCATCACTCCTACAAGTTGCCTCTCAACCACATCTCATATTTATGTCAATTTGTTCTACTATGGTTGTATGTATTAAGTTTATATAATATGTAGTGTGTTTCTTATATAATTTTTAAAAAATATCATAGATGAATTAATGAAAATGTTTATAAAAAAATTCTCCATGGGGAAGTAGAACAGAATTCTTCCTCCGTAAGCCATGCATGTCATAAGAGGCGACTAAAATGCCCAGAGCAAGAGGCTAGTAACCCCTTCTCCTGTATATATTACTAAATTTAAAAGGAGAAACTTTCGTTTTTCCTTTTGGGCCACCCCGCCTCAGTGGGATACGGCTGGTACGTTGAAATAAAGAAAGTTTATAAAAATGTAATATAAGACATTTAAAGCACCCCAGAGCAATTATTATTATTGCATCTTCAACACTAGACACTTGGTGATTTTAATGTATACAGGTAAACATAAGTACAATCATCAGAGTGCATATATATAAAATATGCAGTAACATTAAAACACTTGAAATTTTGGAAAGTTTCCGGACATAATCGATACACGCAGAGCTCAAGGAGAATGTAAACAGAGTGGTGCGCAGACGCCCTAATAGCGAATCAGTGAACCGTATAAAAAAATTTCTGTTTGTAATCTGAAATGTCCATATTAGCAAATCACTGTAAAGTGGGGCCCTCCTGCACGCGAGTTTCATAGGATAGCCTAGGGAAGTCAGGAAGAGTGACTTATCGCCTCTGTGGTCCTAGTGTTAAGAAACAGTGCATTTGTCATGGAGCAGGATAAGCAAATATGTGGGTAGTAGGTAAATACGTAGATATCTGTGTAGAGTCCTTTCTCTGCTGGCACTTCTGGAACATTCTCTGATGTATGATAGTATAGGTTGACAACTAGTGAATCTGAATAATATTGCAATGGTACATAAAGCTTGAGCTTGGAGGTTTATTAACCGCTTAGGTAAAATGATTCCATATGGCAATAGATTAGATGATGTTAATCAGATGCAGTTTTGGGCTGACTACTGCATTTCCTTAATATTCTGCAACTTGCTTTCTGTAAACCTCTGAAGTCCTCCATCTCCCCTTACCATGGAAGTGTGTGAGGGGACGGAAGGAGGTGGGTGTTTGGATCAGTGAAGGACCTCACTCTGTGTCATGGGATGCCATTTATGCCGTCTACAATTCCTCAGAGAATTTTCCCTCCTGTTGCTGTCTGGCAACACTGCGTAACTCCTGATGATGCATGAAGGTGCAAAAAATCCATCCCCATGTGTCTTGTTCTGCATTATATACACATTTTATATATACTGTATAGATATAATATATATTTTATATACATACACGCCTCATACATTTCTGGAATAAGAAGGGTCATGCCACATTAAGATTATAATGATGAAGCAATCACAGGTTCTTCAGGACTAGCAGTTACAGTGCAGCAAATTAAACAAGTTATAATAGTCACAATATCAATTAGACAAATGATTATCAGTCTGTTACATGAATTACTCTAAACATTGATATGTATTTGCTCTACAAAAATTTAGAAAACTGAATTTTCATAAAAGAGCATACTTTCATTTATTCACTTTATTTTTAGTTAAAAATTAATTTACTAGATATAGTAAGGTTACTGACGATAACAGTGTATAATGTGAGTAACTCTGTTATTCATTAAGCTTAAGAGCTTAGAGATATTTATTAAAGAAAGGTAATTTAGCAGAACGTAAAGACTTTTACTAGGGTCATTATCAAGTCAGCATTATATGTATGTATTGTGAAGCCTGTGATGTGATTAATTAAAACCATAATTTTAGATGTACAGTGGTACCTCGGTATACGAACAGCTCAACACTCAAACAATTATGTAAGTGCTTTTGTAAGTGTTTTTTTGGGGGGTCTGAAACGGATTAATCTAATTTACATTATTCCTTATGGGAACCAATTCGTTCGGTATTGACACTCGAACAGTCTTCTGGAACGAATTAAGTTTGTATCCCGAGGTACCACTGTAATTAAAACTAAATTATTTTATAAAAAATACTAATGAGCCTGATACTAAAAATAGTAATTTAGAACCTCGCATACACTGTTCAATCTTTAAACTCAAGAATTATTTTTTATGATCTGCAATGATCAATAATGCATTTGCACATTCTTCCAAGGAATTAAATTCAGTTTAATAAAGATGTTAACTTACAGAGTGATCAGTGGTGATGTCACCTGACCCTTCTTGATCTGTTTCTTGATGGTGCCACAGCAGCAGCACATGGGGCAGGATAAAGGTCTTGGGGAGGTAGGGAAGATTCACGAACAAGTAATGCTGTAGTTAGGGTCAAACCTTTTACTTTACTCGTCAATCTCTTCCTACTTTCTCCTGATGTGGCTTGCTTCACAGAGGCTATGTTCATGTGCTGGCCCTTTAAGGCTGACTTTGCTTGTTTGTTTACAGATCTGTGTTTTGGTCCACTACCCAGTCCAATGATTGGTCCATCCACAACGATGTTCAGGGTGGTTGGGGAGTCTACGTATGTTTTGCTTCTCCTAAGCTGTGGGGCTTGATAAGTTTGACAATGAGTGGTATTATCCTTAACAGCTTCAGCTATGGCTTTGTCCAAAGCATTTCTCCCTCTCACACTGAAAATAAAAATATGAATTGAAATAATCATGTTTAGATACCTTATACAACAGTTAATCAATCAATGATCAGTGCTTCACCACACAATATTTAAATTTCTTTGAGAATTTTCATTAATATATGTACAAGGACAACTGTATTCTTTATATTAATTACAAATAACTTTTTACTATCAATCTTCCAAGTTAGTTAATATATTTTTTATTTATTAAAGCATGTCAACTATATCTCTTTTGGTAATTATTAATGAAAATATTACATACTGTATATCATTCTTTCCCTCCTGGAGGAAAGACAAGCACAGCATACACACTCTCATTTCCTGGTGGACTGACAGGTTGGCAACATAGACAAGAAGCATCGACAGGAAGCATCAAGTAAATTGTTAAATGCAGCTGCAGCATACTGAACTATTATTAAAGTACTGTATGGTGATTTCCAATTTACAACTGTGTGCATAACATAATTTTAAATAACTACTGAAAGAAAACCTAGGTACCTTCTTAACAACCACTTTCCATTTACAACCAGATTCTTGGTTACTATGGTTCACTTCAGCTTTCAAACCAATCTGCTGGCACATCCACTTGCAAATATCTGATATTCAATCTATCGTTGCCTAGACTTCGTTACCATCATCACCTTGTGCTTTTCTACATTCACTTTTAACTTCCTTTTACATGCCCTCTCAAATTCATCCACTGTTGTAATCTGTCTTCAGAATCCCCTACAAGAAATGGGGTTATCAGTAAAAAGCAACTGGGATAACTCCCACTTTGCATCAGATCCAATATTTTTCAATCCCACACCCCTTCCCAGCATCTACGCAGTTTCTTCTTTCACAACCCCATCCATAAATATGCTAAACTACTTTGGTGATAATCACATGTCCCAGTCTAAGTCCTACTTTCACTAGCAAATAGTCTCTTTCCTCCTTCCTACATACCCTAACCTGAACCTCACCCTCTGCATAAAAACTCAACTGCTATTGGTAACCTACATCCTGTTTCATACATTTCTGACATGGTTCCCCAATCCACCCTATCATATGCCTTTTCTAAATCCATATATGCAACAAACTCCTTACTCTTATCTCAGTACTGCTCACTTCTTGTGTGCTGTTTCAATGTAAACACTACCTTCTTAATGTAACTACTACCTGCTCTGCTATTCTATTTTTTGTCTTACCCTAACCCTTTCAAATAATAATTCTTATCCCCCTATAATTCTTGCATTTTCTCTTGATCTCCTTTTTCCCTAAATAAGGGAATTATGCATGCAAGGGCAGCTGCAAGAGGAGGGGCATCATAACCTATCCCTTTCCCCCCCCCCCCCTCTTTCCCAAGAGAAAAAATCCAGGGAAGTAGGCCCCACAATCATGACCCTAAGCAAGGTGTCCCTCAGACATGCTCCAAACATAACCTGGGACAGAAACAAAGCACTGAGAACAATGGTGTTTATAACAAATAGAGGTAAATGGACACAGTAGGACCTGATGCATCAGAACCCAGGTGTTGGTCAGTGCCATCCCCAGATACAGCAAAATGCTAATGAACTTAACTAGGATGCTTGAAACCACAGACAGGACAAGAAGATAAGCATTGTTCATTTATGCCATCTACATGAGCACTGTATAGGCGCCCTTCATTTTTTGTAGGTTTGCTTCAGTTTATGCAATGTCCTGTTTCTATCAGTAATTCTGTATATGTGATATACATTTGCTGTAATTATTTAATCAGTATGGTTCACAAAGTGTACTGATTTTTATGTGGCATTAAGTTTTTTAGGTCTAATTGAGCTTAGTACAACTGCTATGGTTTTGGAATACATCTACAGCATAATATGGGAGGCACCAGTACAGAACTAGTATATCCTCCTTTTCTACCTGGAGACAAATGTGCCCCAAGGCAAGGTCATAGAAGAACCAACTGGAATGTTCCAAGCAAATGTGGGGTCAAGCATCACCTGCACTTTTAAGCTGGGCTAATAAAACAGGAAAACAAAAAACTATAGGTCAGGATCCTATTCAAGGAGGAGATTGATGGAGAAAGCACCCTTGAAAATGAGAGACTATGGGGGCCAAGCTTCAATATGGAAAGTTAAGAGTTGGGGGCTGTGATGTGACTCCTGCAACAAAACTAAGTGAATACAAAACCTAGAAAAATAGACAAATATGAGATGACTAAAAATGTTGAGATATGGCATATGTAATAATGATGATATTTAGAAAAGAACAGGGTGTGATTACATCTTGAAACACACTCCGATATCATGTTTGTGAAAAACGGGAGAACAGCTGTGATACCTTAAGACCAGTATTCAGGTTTCTATCTGTTTGTGACTGCAGTATCTAGTGCTAATTCCCCAATACCTTCATACCCTATTTCTGTTAGGGGACTGTCTAGTCAAGAGGTTATGGGGATGGTTGTGGAGGCCTTTGCAAGATCAGGGAAAGTGGCTAAGAAGAGGACTTTGAGCAAGGCTCTGGTTGGTTGCAGAACTAGAGCCTGTGTGTGAAGACTTGGTGGCCAGACTCTGTCAGAGAGAGCCGAGGCTCTGTGTCAGATCTTGAGACCTGTGGCTAGGAATTTGGCTAAGCCTTTTAGGAGTGATCTACTAAGGACTATACTGTAAGTGAATACGTATTTCAATTTGGTTCAATTTACTGTATTGTCCTATCTTAATTATCTTATATTTCCCCCAGTTATCTTAATATCAGATCCCTTTCCCTCTGACCAAGTGTATCACTGTAATAAGTATTAATAAATTATAATTAAGGGCAATAATGTATTCACTTTCTCCATGTTTAGTTTATTCTTAGTAAGATTGACTATTATTTAAGTGGTAAAATAAAAATTAATTGGAAGTGAGTATAAATTTCCTAATAGTGTGTAGTGAGGTGAGATGGTGTCCACACTGGTTCACCTGATTACTTACCATATTGAGGGTAAAAAGTGTTCACTTTATTCACCCATGATATGACAAGGATGATGAGTTTTTTAAGAGCCTAGACAAGTGAAGTAAAGGTTATAAAGAGTGATCCCTTCAAAGGAGGCTCCTTGATGCCAGTAAAGGGCTCTTGATCCAAGGAATTTGTACCTACCTTTCCCTTCCTTGGATAAGACCTAAATGCTGCTCATTCTCCCGACTTGTTGAAAAAAAAAAATTGTGGAAAAAGTGGAAGATATCCACCATTTTGGAAGAGAAATGTGATCAAGTGCACAAAGGAAAGGATTAACAGGCACACTTGAGGAATAGTTCTAAACAATTGCAAGTTTTGACAGGATGTGGTTGAAGTCTTTCTTCTACACCCTAGGAAATTCCGACAAAGGAACAGAGCATCAATCACATGCATATAGACAGAAGTCTAGTACTCGACAGACAATAAATAGTAATGAACAATGTGGAACATGTTGCAAAATAAACATTCCTCAAGAAGAACGATCAGTGCAGTAGTTATTCTTACCTGCGTCGCATGGGCACTCTGGGTGGGACGATGGGGAACGTGGACAGGACGGAATGTTTCACAGTGTCCACCCTATGATCCCCGTACCACTGCACCACACACTCACCACCAACCTGTTGGACAAATACAGGTTACAATGTGACTAGTTAACAAATTGTTTTCCCTTCTTTAAAACTTGTTCATATTTAAAATTCACATACACTCAAAATGATAATTTTGATTCAAATGTACCAATATAATACAGGATGATATACTCCTTTTTGTCCCTGGCATTTTTATTTTTAAATAAGAATAATGCTAAAAAGACAATCAAATTGTACAATAAATGGCGCTGATGCACAATGTCATATTAAGATTCACCCAGAATTAGTCTATTCTGAATTAATTAACTAAATTTCTAATTTGAGAAATTAGCATATTACAGAGTATGGGGACATAACTAAAATATAATGAAAAAATGCACAAGTATAAGGTACTGCCAAATCTGAAAAAAGCATACAAATTAATATCTTGTATACAGTATCACGTTGCCAAGTGAGTACAATGGTAGTAAAGATCTCAAAAACAAAACAAAAAGTCAAGCATTCACAAAACTTCATCAGATATGTTGTATTATTATTGTAATGGGAAGTGCTATACCTGTTTCATTTGATATAATCTTCTAGAAACAGTACTTAAAGGTTTGCATATAAAAAATCATTTGATACAAACATAATAGGCATTGGTTTCTGAAACAAGTTGTGTGCCTGAACCTAAGTGTAACTACCAACTCCAGATTAAATTTGTTAAGTAACTTGGAGGACAGAGGTGGTCTATGAACCTCAATGTTATTCGAAGTCCAGCCACATGACACTGTTACATTCACCTTCCAATTTGCCTTCCTGGATGGAAATCCTGAATATAATTCACAATGAGTAGCAAGAGTTCTCCCATCTAAGCTGTGATGCTTGCACTGGACTGCATACTACTAGTACCAATAACCTAAATGATCAGGCCATCAATCAGGAAACCTGGTACAGGACTGGGCTGTAGTGGTAACAATGTATGGAAATTTTGATAAGCACCAAAAGTGAAGAGCTCAAAGAAAGGGAGGATGAGGAAGAAGATGAACAGAAATGCATACAAATAAATGTCCAATATAAGGTGAAACAACTTACTGACTAAGATATAAGATATACTGGAGACCAATTGGGCATCTTCAAACATGTGAGAGCACCACAATACAAGTCAGGCCACCACTTAAAAAATAAACTCTTCCAAACCTTCACTTGTGCTTAAACACAGGCATATGAAGGCCTCATTATTGCCCAGGGCAAATTTTACAGGAAGATCTACACCTCTCAGGCTTTACTGGCACAATACAGATCATATAGCCATCACTCCCCTCCAAGAAATGATAATTTCACATCATCAAATTCTCAAGTTGTGAAGTGACTACTGGACCATCTGCACCCACCAGTGCAGAGACTCACCGGTGCAGAGACCCACCGGTTGAGACCCACCAGTGCAGAGACTCACCGGTGCAGAGACTCACCGGTTGAGACCCACCAGTGCAGAGACTCATTGGTGTAGAGACCCACCGGTGCAGAGACCCACTGGTTGAGACCCACCAGTGCAGAGACTCACCGGTGCAGAGACCCACCGGTTGAGACCCACCAGTGCAGAGACTCATTGGTGCAGAGACTCACCGGTGCAGAGACCCACCGGTTGAGACCCACCAGTGCAGAGACTCACCGGTGCAGAGACTCACCGGTTGAGACCCACCAGTGCAGAGACTCATTGGTGTAGAGACCCACCAGTGCAGAGACAACCTGCTTGTGATAAGACTAGAAAGGAAAGAATGACAGCTCTAATGCATGTTATCTCCATTGATGCAATACTGACTATTGCTGCAAGGTGGTCATCAGTCATTGCAGTTCTAAGTTTTCAATTATTCAGTTCTATCAGAGAAAATGTCTGCTCACAAGGCCTGGTCATGAAGATGTCTGCTCACAAGGCCTGGTCATGAAGATGTCTGCTCACAAGGCCTGGTCATGAAGATGTCTGCTCACAAGGCCTGGTCATGAAGATGTCTGCTCACAAGGCCTGGTCATGAAAATGGCTGCTCTCAAAGCCTGATCATGGACTGGGCCATAGGAGCATTGACCCTTGGAACACTCTCCAGGTATACATATGTATGTTGGCCCAAATATTTCAAACATCCTTCGAGCATGAGCTTTTAATTTTGGAAATGCTCACAAACTGAGAAGCATCAGTGGCTTAAATTGTCCCAAAAGCAATGGATCATATTGCAGGTCGATATGCCTAAGTTGAAGGTCAACTGGGGCTTTATCAACATCAACTGAGATGGGAGTGGCAATTCTAAACATATGTTCAACATTTTGAAATCTTGAAATTGCTATGTATATTCGGAATGCAAGTCAAGTAGTAACAGACTATTTTTTAAGGTTTTCCCTTATAAACAGTGTAGCTGAAAGTGAGCTGCTTATTTTTACCTGATATAAATGAAGGAATTTTGTTATAAATGTCAGGACATTGTAATACAGTATACCTCATGTGAATAGAATTCTTTTCCTTGCAGTTTTGAAATGATAGCTCATGTGGTCCATGATAATGACCAATGCAAAAATCAGAGAGCCAATTCACATCATTCATCTGTGGGAAATCAAGCTAAAATACACATCTAATCTAAAAGGTTACATTAAATGCATCAAGAGTTGCCAGATCTTCTGCTGTGACTTCCCAAAAGTCCTTCCTCGTTACTACAAAACCAAACTGAAGTGAATTCTTTCTGAAGTTGGAGATACAGTACATTAATTTTTTTTTAAATTGCTAGACAGTGATAAGCTGGATAAAATTCCTTAATGGACCAGATGTGGCCCACAAGATATATTTTTCTTACCCTTGGTATATGCATTTGCTAAGTGACTATACCTGTACAGTATTAAATGATAATTTTCCAACTTTTATCATTTTACTATTATTGAAGAGGGAAGAAAAGGAGGAGCGAATGGATGACGAAAAAATGATTGAAGGGGAAATGAAAAAGTGGATAGTCATAAGGTGAAACAAGGGACAGAGGATATATTATTATAAGCATTGAGAAGAGCTCAACCTAGAAGGGTTATATAATACCTAGGAAGTGGGAGGTTAAGTTTGATTCCAAGGGAAGGATAACTCCAGTTCTCTAGATAAAGAACCCTTCAGCAGCATCAAGGGAGGTGGTATAAAGGATATGGAGGGGAAAAGGATGATGATAGGAATAGTGAAGCATAGAGAGGGGTAAGATACAAAATAAATATGGCCAGTGAAGGAGCGAGTTTGTAAACAAGAGTTAGAGTGAAAGATTAATTCATTCAAATTTACCATTGATGATGTACAATTTGTTCATTTGTCAGACTAGCATTATAATTCAGTAATATTCTATAAACTGTACATAAATTTTAAGAGTTAAATACAAATTTAATAATATTAATGTTAAACTGATTTACAAATAAAAATGCACTGTATGTGACTAAGAGTATTTTGCAAGTATAATGACAACTGTTACTGTAGCTTTAATATGAATAAAGGTAATAAGCAGTAGTAGTATACAAGCAGCAGGAGTCCCAGTAGCACACTGCACCACCACCAAGAGTCCTGCTTAGTGTTTAGAGAGTGCAACTCACCACACATTCACAGGTTTGTGCCCAATTTTTCATATTTGCATTTTAACTCCATGTAAGGTATAGGCAGGAATCTTGCATGAATAATGTGATAATACCATTGAATAATTTTCCCATTAAACCAACTATTAATGATGAAACTTACGAAGTCATAATACATATATGAGAGACAGACCTCTAGACAAAGTGTAAATATAGTCATCACCAGATCAAGTTTATATTTAAATATGAAAGTTACCAAGTATCAGTATGAAAGGAAAGCATATGTAGAATGTTCTTGTTATGTAATTTATAAAATTTGTGGGAAGTCCAAGTACACTACAAGATAGGGCTAAATAGTAAGAAATAAAGCCTTAAAGGATAGAGATAGTGAAGGTAGTAAAAAAAAAAAAAAGGTACTGTATTATGAGGACTAAAAATTCAGCTACTTAATTATCCATTATATATCATAATGCTAACTTCTAATGTCTTGTACAATAGGAGAGAGGATCAAAGTACTGACTGCAGTCCAGCAGCAAGGGAGGTAAACCTGAAATTGTTGGGAATTTTTTTTTTTTTTTTTTTTTTTTTGAAGATTTCTAAACCTAGGGAGGTCCAAGATACGAGTTCCAGTGAATGCCACCATATAATAATTTACCATTATCCCATTATTCACAGAAATCCAAAATGGTTGCCATAAAAATGGGTATACTTTGTATCTTTCTGGACAAAACTTTGCTTCTAATATGAATTTTTATATGTTTCAAGCAGTGAAATCTATTTTGCCATCCAAGGAATTAATTTTTGACCACTGCAAGTTCATCAGGAGGAGTTGCAATGGATGTGGCTGCTGGAGTATTCTCCATTTATAATTTGTAGTAGGATGGTAGACAGCAACCACCTGGGGAGGTACTACCAACCTGCCAAGTAAGTGTGAAACAGAAGCCAGTACAGTGGACCCTCGGATTTCGTAGTCATTGGATTTTGTAATACTATTTGGAAATAGTAATGTTTTTTCATCAAAATATTGGCTTGGTGAAAGTCATTTAGCTTGGTAATAGTCAGTCATCCCAAACGCATCTGAGCAGCCCAACACACCATTTACAGTCAGTGTGTCATTGTTTATCAGTCAGTGAGCACGATCTCACGTTCATACGATAGATTTTGTAATATTCCATTCGTTTTAGTGCTTGCAACTGCTAAATAAGCCACCATGGGCCAAAAGAAAGCTCCTAGTGCCAGCCCTTTGGGGAAGAAGGCGATAAACAATAGAATTCAAGAAAGAGCACACCAACCAGGGTACTTCCACACACACCAGACAAGGCACTTCCCCACACACCAGCCAGGGTACTTCCCCACACACCAGCCAGGGTACTTCCCCACACACCAGCCAGGGTACTTCCCCACACACCAGCCAGGGTACTTCCCCACACACCAGCCAGGGTACTTCCCCACACACCCAATTTGGT